TACCAGACCTTCCTCGTATATTACATGCTATAACCGGGGAGCTCTGGTGGCCTAGTGACAAGAAGCTCACTGCAGTCTCAAAGACACGCTGTTCAAGGCCACCTGCTGCTCTGCAGGAGAAAGATGGGCAATCTCCTCCCATGCGATTAACTACCTCTGACAACCTGACAGAGGGCCAGCTATGAGTCTGTTTTGACTTGATGGTACACAATGACAACAATTATTACACTATATGCAGAAACTTCCACTCTGTAATAATATCCACTTACTAAATAACATGTTTCTGGAAACTCTATGAACTTTGATAAATGATGATAGCTACAGAAAGGCGTCAAACCTTTTGTTCACAGGGTCGCTATGAGTCGTATTCAACGTGATGGCAATCACCACCACCACCACCACAATAACTGAGCTGGAACTGACCCACAGCTGACCCTCCAGGGGCAAGGCAGATACAGTTACTCTCACTGGAGGAGATTATCCATCTTTCTCCCATTGAGCAGCTGGTGGATTCGAATCACGTGCCTTCAAGACTGCAGCACAGCTTCAATTGTAACCAATATTGAATATTAAATCAAGTCAATGAAGAAATAAAATAAAACTATTTTTTTGTACTACAATAAATCAGTATTCACTCTAAGAAATTTAGCAAAAATCTGAAGAGCCATCTTTTTAAAAATTTTCTATCTTGATGAAAATAAATATCTACAGAAACTTTTTCCAGTGTACAAAACTCAACCATAGAAAGAAACCCCTGAAAGAACCTGCGGTCACACTAACATAAACTCAAAACACTTCTTTTTTTTTTTTCTCTATAATTATATTTTATTAATTTTCATAAACATTTACAGAGATTTTGGGCTTCCACTCATTCAACTCAAAACACTTCTAACATTGCTTTTTTTGCTTATTTTTGTGTTCTACTATTTCTCTATATATTTAGATTACCATTATATGCAGAGTTCACATTTAAAATATTTCATGAAATTATGTTTCATGTCAAGGCAGAAAAAGACTTAAATTACATAAAATTTATTGTGTAAAAGAAAAGCAGCCAGTGCATAGGTGAGCTGACAGGTTTTATGTACCAGCTTAATGGCAGGCAGGCAGTTAAAGTGATCGTTGTAATTTCACAACTATTATCTATTCATAAACAAGAAGAAAGATAGATGCTTTGAAAATATAAAGGACAGTACTTTCAAGGTTGTTGTTGTTGTTGTTATATGCCATCAAGTCGCCTGTGACTCCTAGTGACCCTAAGTACAACAGCCCTAAACACTGCTCTGTCCTGTGCCAGTCTCACTGTCTCTTATATACCTATCCCCATTATCTACACATCTCAGGGACATCTACATTTTCAAACACTCTCAAGAATGGTTACACCTGGCTGGGCAGGTGTAGTTTATATCCAAACTCTCTCTATATAACTTATTTATATAGGATTTCATTAGCCTAACTCAAAAGGCTATGGTCTTTGCAATCACTTGTTATATGTCAGAGAGCTGGACAATGACTAGGGAGGATAGAAGGAAAATTGATGCTTTTGAGCTGTGGTGTTGGAGAAGAGTAGTGAATGTACCATGGACTGCTAAGAAGACAAACAGGTTCATCCTGGAGAGGGTTAAACCGGGTGGCTCCTTGGAGGCAAGGATTCTGAAGCTTCGTCTGACATACTTTGGACATGTTATAAGGAGGGACCGGTCCTTGTAGAGGGACATCATGCTTGGCAGGGTGGAGGGACAGTGCAGGAGAGGAAGGCCCTCTATGAGGTGGACTGATTCAGTGACTGGGGTAATTGGGATGAGTGTGTCAGAGACAGTGAGAATGGCACAGGACAGAGCAGAATTGAGGGCTATTGTACATAGGTCGCTATGAGTCACCAGTGACTTGACGGCACATAACAACAACAACAACCTAAAACTAATTTTTATAGCAAAGAAGTTGTTGTTTTGTTGTGAAGTTTTTTGTTGTGAAGTTTTTGATTGCTTGCTTCTTTTTGTCCCCTTTAAAAAAAATTATTACTAATTTCAATGAAAATTTAGAGTTTGGATTTCCATTCATTCATTGTTGCACTTTTCTCACCTCCCAACCCTCCCCCCTAGTACACTACATTCTTTCATTGTTTTACAACCCCTCCCCTGAGGTCCACTTCACTATATAGCCTTCGCTCTGGACTCCTGTCATGACAAAAATACCTAATAATTTTCCCTCTTAAACAGTTTTCTCCCTCATCTGTTTCAATGCAGTATACATTATTGAAGCCATCCTTCTCAGTCTTCTCCCAACTCCGAGGTCAGTCCTGCTTTACAACAGTGGCACCATGCAGTATTTGTCCTTTTGTGACTAAGATATTTCACTCAGCATAATGTCCTCAAGGGTCACCCATTTTGAATAATATTGCATGAGTTCCTTGTTTTTCAATGCAGTATAGTATTCCATTGTGTGTGAATATACCACAGCTTCTCTATCCATTCTTTTATTGATGGGCACTTAGGTTGTTTTCAACTCCTTGCTATTGTGAACAAAGCCGCGATAAGCATGGGTGTGCATATATCTGCTTGGATATCAGTTATGGTCTCTCTGGGGTATATTCCCAGTAGTGGAATTGCTGAGTCAAATGGTATCTCTATTTGCAACCTTTTGAGAAAGCGCCATACCGCCTTCCACAGTGGTTGCACCATTTTACACTCCCACCAACAGTGAATAAAGGTTCTAGTTTCTCCACAACCTTGCCAGCATTTGTTGCTTGCTGTTTTGTTAAATTTTGCAATTCTGACTGGGGTGAGATGATATCTCATAGTTGTTGCTTCATTTCTTTTGAGAGATCATTAAGTATACAACTCAGATTAGCAGTGGACTCTTTTTGTTAATGCTAATAGATTTGGATGAATTGTGAAATTAGACCAATTTTGTCTATAAAACAGTACTTCCATAAGATTTATTTTAATGTTATTCCCTATGTGATAATTATTGCCTCTGAAAAGAAGCTGGAGAGTCAGCTATGGGTGAGTTCTGACTCAAAGGTACATAACAGCATGTAATAACTGTACTGTTTCACCTTTTTTTCTGACGCATAAACTTGCTATACTTTTACACAGAGGATCCCACAACATCACATTCCCAGAGTTAGGGTCTGGCAACCTAGGCTCCCTTGGCAGCTTAGGATTACCACCAAGGGCAGACACGTTGCTTCAAGCCAGAGCAGAAACCAACTTGCCAAGACATTTCTATGCCCACTTCTACGTCATACTGTCTAAAGACACCGCTTGGATTCCTCAGGTCATTAGGCTTTACAAAGTTTAAAGAGAGAGTCTCCAAGGGTTGACCAAAAACCTTTGATAAATGTGTATCTTCTAGGCCAGGAATACCCAATTTTAGTCTACACACTCTTTTTTACAATGAGGAAGAAGATCCCATAAATCATCCATTTTTGTTGTTGCCATTCTCTTCTTACAATAGGGGGAAAACTCAAAAGAGCTTAAATTTGTCAGTTTCAACAATATGTCTTTTGAGTCATTCATTCAACCCAAATATATTATGCATGAACTGTGGCAAGAATCAGTCTAGGGGACTGTTACGGAGCTCTGGTGGCATGGACCACTGGGAATTGCGCTGTTACGCCCAAAGAGACCACCCATCTGCCAGCGCGAATCCGCGAGCAGAAGAAAGATGGGCCATCTCCTTCCATGTGACTGACAGTCTTGGAAACTCAAAGGAGGGTCAACTATTAGCTGGTTACACATAGATGGTTATGAATGAGTGTGTGAGAGACTTAACTGTTATTTATACAAATTATTCACGGAGAAATGCTGGCAGGGTTATGTTTTTTAAAACACTAACACAGAGCAGCTTGAGGTTCAAGTTGTCTATTGGTTTTTAGACTTCTTTTTGACAATAGCTCATTTGGTTGCTGTCTAGCTGATTTTGTGTCTTTGGATCTTCTCATGAGAGATCTAACCTGTGAGATCAACGCTAAAAAGATCTTTCAGTAATTAGAGTCTTTTCTGACAATTAGAGAGTTTCCAATGTCACAACAAGAGGCTTTTTATGTTGCTTGCTTTGTGTTTTTGTTTTTCTTTTTCTACACAATAACAATTTAACCAAAATATTTAACTAAACTGACACCATCCCAGCAATGTTGTCAAAGACCATGCCATTCCTCCCATCTGTTGCTATGGCTCATTTTGGACTAACTACAAATAAATTTAGCACCTTTGAAAGGCAAGTGGCAAGGCAGGAAATCTGCTTTGTTACAACAATTACAATGTCACCTGGGTGTCATCCTGAGTTAGTGAGTATGCATCAGGCCAAGCTTTGGGGTCTTGAAAGTAAAGGCTTTTAAATTGGATAAATCATGTATACTGCATTGAAACAGATGAGGGAGAGAACAGTTTAAAAGCAATACATGATTGGGTATTGTGGTCATGGCAAGACTCCAGAATGAAGGCTGCATAGTGGAGTATACTGGGGGAGTCAGAGGGGGACTGTACACTAATGAAAGAATGTTTCTTTTACTTTTCAAAAAGAAGAGTAAACTGGGGGTGGGAGGGGTGGGAAGGGAGAAAAATGCAACAATGAATGCATGGAAATCCAAAGTCTCGGTAAACATTCATTAACATTAATTAAAAAAAAAAAAAAGTAAGGGCTCCCCCATTTGGTGCTATTTAGATACACTGTAAATGAGAATTTCTTGGAAAGAAAATGTTAGGCTATTTTATCCCTTTCCTCACACCACACCATCTGAAGAAAACAGGCTGTGCCAAATAGTTTAATACTATCTCCAGGGAGCTCTGGTGGCCTAGTGGCAAGAAGCTGCACTACAATCCCGGAGGTATGTGGTTCAAATCCACCAGATGCTCTGCTGGAGAAGGAGGGGCAATATCCGCCTGTACCCAATTTGATAGTATACACACACACACAAAATAATAAAATTTAAAAAAAAAAAGTTAAAAATATTATCTTACCTGCCTATCTATATACATATATAAAACGAAACTTACTGTGGTAGAATCAAAAGAAATGACATCAACAACTGGAGGATTTGAAGTCTGCATATCGATTATATCTAGTTTTGGGTTAATCTGTATAAAAAGAAAAAGAAGTTAATATTAGATTTTCCTACCATAAAACATTAGATGCTACTGGTAAAACACTAAGCCTCTTTCATTATGTGGTATGCAATAAAACACCTATTTGTATATGTATGAACATGGGTACGAATATGTTAGTCAAAATATTAGCCTCCAAAATCTACCAGTAAGTATAAAATATTACCACAATTAAGTTCTATTTATCACATAAATAACAGTTTGCTTTCACATTAAAAAGAAACAGTGTCATTTGCTTATAAAGAGGATCTAAAAATGAAATAAAATGATAAACTGAAAAGGATGCAGATACAAGCCTAGCCATTTCAGTAAGACAAAAACGGAAATAAAAAGGTAGTAAAGGATAAGAATTGAAAGAAGAAAAAAACTTGTCAATCATATGATTATGGTAAAATCACAAAGAATGAGAAATAAAAGAGTTAAACTAGATTGGCAGACACAAAATCAATATGCATTTCTGCACTCAAGCAGATGGCTAGAAAATGTAGTTTTTAAAATAACATCATTTACAATACCATAAAAGTTTAAACTATATAAGAATAAATATACAAAGATGTTTAAAGTAAAAACAATACAGCTCATTAAAAGACATTAAATAAAGGCTAAATAAATAGAAAGTTACACCACAAAGAGTTCAAAAACAGAGCTCTAAACACAGAGAAATGCACAGAAGATTAAAATGTTGCCACACATCAACAGAAGGAGGATGGTCAGAGGTTGAAAATATTGATTTATTATATAGATCTCTTCTTAATACTATATGTAGAGGTGGATATAACAGATAAAAAAGAAAATTGTTACATAAAACTATAAAGTGAATAGAAAATAACACATAAAGGTATCTTTGGGATTCAAAGATAAGAAGAATATCTTAAAAACTTCAAAAGCAAAACCACGGGGAGCTCTGGTGGCCCAGTGGCAAGAAGCTGCACTGCAATCCCAGAGGCTCATGGTTCAAATCCACCAGATGCTCTGCGGGGAAAGGAGGGATAATCTCCTCCTGTACCAGTCAGATCTGATGTGATGGTACAGACAGATACACAAAAAATAATAATAACAAAGCAAAACCACAAGACAAACAAAGCAAAACAAACCCAACCCCAAAAACCAGAAACAAAGAAAAGCCTCTGATTACAATAAAATGAAACAGTCCGCTTTAACAATGGGCACTACAAAAGGAAAACTCAGATAACAGAATAGGAGGAGACATAAAGACTAAAATGGAAAAAGGAAAAACGGGTAAAATATGTAAGAAAAGAACAGCTACCCCAAGGGTAAAAGTTCTGAAAGAGAAGCCCTACAAGTTAAGCAGCATATGAAAAGGTGTTGCAAAATGACTGATAACAAAAAGGAAAAGAAGAAAATACCATCTAACACCTACTAGAGTGTATAAACCAGAAACTCAGTGATGCCAATATTGTTTATGGCAAACCCCAAGCTAGAAATACTACAAATGTCTAGAATAGAAACATAAATGATGGGAATTAGTTCTGTGATCAATTTACTGGCATACCAGATAGCAGTGACAATCAATGGAGTAAAACTACGCAGCATGTGTGAATCTCAAGAGTTTAATGTTAAATAAAGAAGTTTTAGAAAACTATACTCAGTAGAAGTCTATTGATAAAATGATCAAAATAGTTCAAAAGTAAGAAGTATCTGAATTACAAATCCCCAAAATATCTAGTAAGATTACAAAAAAATGAAGGGTATGAGTAGAGTGTTGATCACTTTTGAGGAAAGTTATTTCAGAATTTGAAATGAGTAAGAAGTAACTGAAACTATCCCACCAAGACCACCACCATTAAATATCAAACAATATGGATACAAAGACATAAATGACACTTGTGGCTACCATATTTGTAATTTGTCTTTCAAAACAATGATGATGATGATGATGATGAACTAAAAGACAAAAAAAGAGCTTTGTATCAAATGAATGGTACCTACCGGTAATAATAAATGTTCTGAAGAATCTCAGAGGTAACTGTTGAATGAGTATTTGCTGTTATTGTTGCTATGTGCCATCAAGTTGCCTTTGACTCATAGTGACCCTGTGACCCGGGGCTGTGAACCCTCCTCTATCCTCACCCAATCTCGCGGTCTCTGACACACCTGCCCCTATTAACCAATTACTGTGTCAATTCATCTCATCCAGTATCTTCCTCTCCTGTGCTGTCCCTCTATCCTTGTAAGTGTGAGGTCCTTCTCCAAGGACTGGCCCCTACTGGCAACATGCCCAAAGTATGTGAGGCAGAACTTCAAAATCCTTGCTTCCAAGGAGCAAATTGTTTTCATCCTTTCCAGGACAGACCTGTTTGCTCTCTTGTTGGTCCATGGTATGTTCAATACTCTTCTCCAGCACCACAGCTCAAAGATTTTGATTCTACTTCTACCATCCTTATTCATTGTCCATCTCTCTGATGCAAATAACTGCAATGTTCATGGCCTGGATCAGGTACAGCTTAGTCTCTAGACTGGCACCTTGCTCTTTAGCACTTTGGAGAGGTCCCTGACTGCTGACTTTCCCCAAACCACTCATCTTTGATTTCCTGACTGCTAGTGCCAACAGTGTTGATTGCAGAAACAAGCAAAAAGAAATCATTATCACAGTCGCTTCACCTATCAAGGAGATGCCAGGTGGCATACTGGCAAGAATCTTTCTCTTCTTGACATTGGGCTCCAATCCATACTGAAGACTGCAAACTATCCATCATTTCAGGTCCTTTTCCGTTTTAGCAAGCAAGGCTATGTCATCTACATAACACAGGTGGCTGATGAGTCTTCCTCAAATTCTGATGCCACATTCCTCCTCATAAAGTCCCGCTTCCCAAATGATCTGTTCCACATATAGATTGAAAAGGTATAGGGGAAAGTACGCATCCCTGACATATTCCTTTCCTGATTTTGAACCATGTAGTGTTTCATTGCTCTGTTCTGATGTCTGCTTCCTGGTCTGAATATAGGTTTCACTTGAGCACAATGGGTGACAGGAATGCAAAAGTTGGTTACAAGGAAGAAGAATCAGTAGTTAGAAAATGTGGACTCGGTGACAGAAATTAGGCTGGAGTTAGAATGATAGAATTTTGTATAATCAGTGATTTATTATTTATGAATATCTTTTATAAGAAACACAAATGGTGACTATACACATGGACTTGACCTGATGGTCTATACAGGAATCAGACTGATTCTATGGAAAGAATTGTTGGATACACTCAATAGAATTTGTGAAAACTAGATCAGGTGCTGATTGTGGAATAGATCATCAACTACTCACATGCAAGTTTACTGAGCTAAAAAAAATTAAACCCAGAAGAACCAAAATTTGACCTTGCGTTTCTCCCACCTAAATGAGCACTTAGTGAGAAAATCTATCTACACAGGAAATAAGGCTTTCAGATAGTTCCTTATTTTAAAAATTTTATAAAACAGACATAAAGACTGTGGTGCGGTAAAGAGCATTCCGGAACAGTGGCAGAAACTGGCATGATAGTTTTGCAACAATAATAGGTTGGCATCGATCAAACTATGAAAGGAAAAGGAAGTTAGGAAGGGCATAGAAAAATAGGCTAAAATATGTTTCCAAAAGAGTCATCTGGTAGAGGCCTGGGGAGTCTCAAGAATAAATAGGATATGCACACCCATGTTTATTGCTGCATTATTCACAACAAAAAGTGTGTGCCGAAATCGTGATCCATCTATACCATGGAGTATTACGCAGCAGCACTGAAACGCTGAAGATCTCAAGAAATACTACACAATATGGATGAGCCTAGAGAACATTATGCTAAGTGAGTTAACTCAGTCACAAAGGGACAAGTACGCTTGTCATAAAATTAAGAGGAATATGGGACAATAGGGTACAGGGGTTTGGGGAGGAGAGTACAACAGGAAGGGAATGAACAGATAAGGAACATAGATGGCATCAGAATAGTGGAGGGAATGATTCTAAAAAGAGGAGTAGTGCAACTAACAAGTTGTCATAGTACGTGCATGATGGAATGAAAGACGAAAGGGGGGGTATATGTATAAATGAGTGGATGAAAAGTCAATTTAAAAAAAAACAAGAATAAATAAGAAATAACAGCGTGACCACAAATAATAGTTCAGGCAGCTAGTGATAAGGACTGAGCCAATGGTAAGAGGAGTGGAATCATTTAAAAAATACTTGCATTTCATGATTATAGCTGTAGGTTTGGAGATTGTTGTTGCGTATTGCTGGGTTGGAAGTGACCCATAGCTGACCCGATAGTGGGTTTTTCAGAGGTAGTATTTGCACATCCATCTTTCTCCAATGGAGCAGCTGGTGGATTCATACCACACACCTTCATGTTAGAAGCACAATTCCTTAGTACTAAGCCTCTGTGTTGTTGTTTGGTCCCTTCAAGTTTGGAACCAACCCATAGCTGACCTCAGGTGGGTTTACAAAGGCAGGAGATTATCCACCTTTCTTCCACAGAGCAGCTTGTGGATTTGAACCACATTCCTCTGAGACTGCAGCACAGATTCTTGAGCTTCCTAATATTAGAAACAATAATATCATTTAATAATTATCCAGAAAAGTATGTTAGTTAGCACATGCCCAGTAAACACCACATTAAAGTAAAGAAGAGCTAAGCCTCTCAGGATGACAGCAAGAGGACTGTCAGCTCAGGTGACGGCAAGTTTCTTGTCTTTCTGGCTGCTCCCTTGAAGAGGAAACCACCTGTTTGTTTTAGCTTCAGCTGAGTCCAGCACTGAAGCTAAGAATCCTGAGGGTGACTTAACTTGCCTCTCAAGCCAGAGTTGTTTGCTGATATGTCATCTTCTTTTATCTACTGCCACCTAGTGTAGATATGAAACCATTACCAAGGAAAATGCATTTTGTTTTACCAGTGAAAATGCAACTTGGTTTGTTCATCTAAATTTGGAACTGCCCAAGAAATCAAAATCATATGATGACTGTCAAAATCTCTTATGGGAAAATCCTT